TGTCTGATTGGGGTATTCATGCTTCACTGCAGCATGGTATCTCAGTGGGCTAGCACTATAAAACCAGCTTAAGTCTGGGCTAGTACAAGCAGCCGCACATACACATACACACGCATGCACGTCGTCATATGAGCGAAATATTCTCAAGCACGACGTTAAACCCAATTCCACCACCAGCAAGAAATGGTTATACCACTATATAACTTCTTGGACACATCGCTACATTCATCAGGTTGATTCCACGATCATTAATATTGGCGCGTCAGCACCAGAGCACGGGTGACAATGAAAGTTTAACTGAGTCAGTCATCAGTCAGGAATATTCAAGCAATATATCAATTAAAAATTAGTCTTCGATATAACAACTTTCTTCTCACAATGGGATTTGTTTTTGAAAAATACATTATGTGTTCAGAAAAATTGAGTCAAAAATAATTCGTTTTCAGGCTTTACCCAAAAATATATCGTTGCTAAAAAGGTACGCTGTGTCAAGATATTTATCGTTATATTTCAAAACAAATCCTGTCACAAACAAACCCAGAAACCCAGCCCTGTCACAACACCACTCCAATCACACGCACCCACGCACGCACCCCATCCCAACCCATACGCCCTCCCTAGAAGTGAGGGACACACTATCGACTATACACCCCAAAATATGTCATTGGGTGTATATGGCAAAGCTACAGTGAAAATCAACAATAACACCAGGTGTCCGCCAAAGGTTAAGCCCTGCCCTACCAGGGCACGCGCCCTATGGTAAAACGCGCACAGCCCCACTTGACAGCCTAGAGTTGTTTGGTCGTGATTCAACACATGGTAATTGAATCCAGGACAGCAAACCAGCTGAATGACAGCCCACAGAGAACAGATTGAGCTGCTCCCAGTGGCACATCGACCCAATGGCTATCTCTCCAGAACATCAAAGGGCGTTGAACGTATGACAAAAACTGTCGAGTAAGCAGGTTCCTCGTCCATGCGTTCTGTGCAAATTGCTCGAATAAAATGCTTACCGCCTATTATGTGCTAAACAAAGCATTGAAAAGGCAGCATTTGAACGTGTACGTGCTTCAAGCCACAGTTTCTCCCTGCTGGTGCAGAGGGCAGGATGTCATCCTGAAGATGAGGATGCACCGGGACGACTTACTGTACTCCAAGAAGATAACACGATTTCAGTGGGAGTATTCTACTTAAGGTGTATGATATGTATATAGTTGTGTTTCCTGGCACAGTTGTGTAGGGAGCAATGGGTGTAGCCTAGCAGATAGCGTGTAGGTTTACAGTTAATACGTCCGTGTTCGAATCTAAAGGAATAATATGCATAGATTTTTCAGGCGTCGAACCTCTGTGTTAGTGGTAGTTTGTTTGTTCTTTGACTCAGCTCTGGTCGATATTACACTGATTGATTGATCCGTTACATGATGGCGGTCTGGACAGTAAAGAGATTGACATCGTGATGTAAGCATTTGGGACACGGCGACATGTAGCAACCAAGTGAGCGAGCCTGACCATCCGATCCCGTTAGCCTCTTCTTACGACAAGAATGGGTTGCTGAAGACCAGTTCAAACCCGGATCTTTACGGGTTCTCAGTTTGTTAGAAATATGTGGGCATAATAGCGTGTTTTCGTGGTTTATCTTCATCTTGCATGTCTCGGATTATTGATTTTTTATTATTGGTATACCCAGCAGACTTCACTCGTTCATGTGGGAACCCACCCGTGAAGGTCCTGGTTAGAACTGATCTTCAGTAACCCATGCTTGTCGTAAGAAGCGACCAACGGGATTGGGTGGTTAGGCTCGCTGACTGGGTTGACACATGTCATCGTATCCCATGTTCATGCCGTTGATCCCTGGATTGTCTGGTCCAGACTCGATTATTTACAGACCGCCACGATATTGCTGAAATATTGCGTGTGGAGTAAAACTAAACTCACTCACTCACTCATATGAGAGCCCAACGCACCCCATACCTCGTATGTGATGATCCCAGTTAGAATTGGTCTTCAGCAATCCATGCTTGACTGAAGAGTTGACTAATATGATCAGGTGGTCGGGCCCGCTGACATGGTTAATAAATGTCATCGTATGCTAATTTCATAAATCGATGCTCATGAAGTCAGCCATTGATTTGTTGAAGTATTCATGTAATGGCGCTGAACAACACACAAAGATAGCTATATGTGGTCAGGGCAGCGGAAAAATAAGAACTAGACCTCCTTTTACAAAGCACTAATTTAAGGTGATCGTAAGTCACTAAGGTAACCTAAGTGCAATATTAAAGAATGGGAGTTAAGGTTAACCTTAGTAAAGGTTGCTTCGTGAAAGGAGCCCCTGGCTAAAGACATGCCGAACACAAATTTCAGCATATCAAGTGAACGTTCAGCAAGGACGGTGACTCACTGCACTGGCATATTGTATTGGCACAAATGGAGCCTATTTCTGGTCAAATCCATCCTTAAACTACTACACCCACAACTATTGGATCCACGAAGTGTACGTCACAAATGAGGCTTCAATGTTTGAGATTTGAAGGCGTTTCTTTGTGTTCATCGATTGTCTCCACTTTACGTCAGGAATTACCAAAGTTAAATTTGCGAAGTCTTTAATGCTAAACTTTCGAATTACCTGTAACTGTTTTGGGACATGAATTTGGAGGCCACTTTTCAGATGAACTTCATGAACTCAATTCAGGGTAGCCCTTTGGTAAAGTGTTGAACCGCCAGGCCATAAACCCGGGTTCGATTCACACACATGAGTGTAATGGGCGAGGTTCTGGTGTCCCATGACCTTAATATGTGGCAGCTATTCAGCTTAAAAGCAAACACACCAAGCTCGCTAAACACACCAAACTCACCCATTCCACAAGGCGAGAGTGCATTTGTTCCTTGATTTCATTTATCAAAGCTGACCACGTTCTGACCGCTCACATCACAACCGTTCTCGTATTATCTTTACGAATGTTACTGAAAGAAATATGCCCATTTTACTTTTAAGTGGACGGCGGACTCCCCGGAATACACAATGCACTACTACTCTAACAGCTAGCAGTTCTTGCACGTTACAATCTACGTCTACCCGTGCGTCTTGAATTTTGGTTTTAGTTTTGTTTCTATTTTTGGCCTCTTGTTTCTTTTATTCATTTTGTGGGGTTGTGGGGTTTTTGTGGGGTTGAATATTTTTGTTTTCCTGACTTGTTTTTTTAGTTATTTTGTATTCTTTATTTTGTTGGGGGGTGGGGGTGCTGTTGGCGATTTTCTAATTTGGTCTTGTATATTTGTTATTATGCTGCTGTTTTTGACATTGCGGATGCCACGTTGAGCAACAACTAGCAGTCAACCATGTCTTCAAGCTCGTCCTATTCTGTTTCATAATTGTGGGTTTTATTCTCTTAATTAAACGTTTTATACCCAATAGCCGATATTTACAACCAGGCAAAAGAAATAAACACATGAAAATGCAGTGAGAAATCGCTAAACACTTTTTCTTGGGTATCCGTAAAAATTCAGAAGCAGAAGAAATATAGAATTTAATGCAGCATTGACAAAAGATAACAGATGATGAAAAAGAATCAAATATATGCGACGCTTAACTGCACAAATGAGAGAGAGGGCAGTCAGAGTGAGGCAACCTCACCCAGATTGCAGGAAATGTCAGCTTTACCCAGATCAAATATTGACTGGCATTACACCGGACAATGCAGGCTCCGACAGACCACGTGTGACGACAGGTTGACCGGTATATGCGCACTTTACATTTGTGCCAGAGACGACGACAACGGGGTCAGTCGACACAGTCTTCAACCACGATGTCGTTTCGTAGGTATTCTAGCCTACGCCCCTTCGTGCGTTGTCCTTGACCCATCAACATCAACGCCGAAGACAACATTTGGCAAGGCCAGATTACAGCGAATAGCAACGAACGACGCAGATCGGTGACTGTCACAGAGTGCTATACACTGACGAAAGCAGGTCCTCGTTTGTATTGGCAAACGTGATCGAGTTTATTGGCGGCTCTCACGACAAAGGAAGAGTGTTCCACTTGATAATTTAGCGCAACAAAACCTCTTCACCTTCTCAGAGAAGACTAACCACAATATGCTTCTATTGGGAAGACAAACTTCTAAGAATAATTGAAGCTCAATGCAGTTATTTTTTTGTTTGAATAGTGATATCGTAATTAGGTATCCATTACTGTCTACAGAATATTAAAAAGTATGCATTAGTATATATGGAATATCAAAAAGTGTCAATTAGTATGTACAGAATATCAAAAAGTGCCAATTAGTATGTACAGAATATCAAAAAGTATCCATTAGTATATAGACAATATTAAAAAGTATCCAATAGCATATAGAATATATAGATTCTCTTCTAATTGTAATGGGGTTTCGTATCTCAACAAACGCCTTGATCGGGGACTAGAGAAATCGAAGTGTACAATGACATAAGATACCGGGTTCCATATTTCAAAGTAAATGGCACAATAGGTAAGGTCATATGTCGTAAGGAGTATCAGTATAAGATTTCACACGTAGTGTCAGGTTGTACACGTTTCAATGTAATATGGTTTCAGGAACACTAACACAAGAACATCAATGTTAATGCAGCATTACAATAACCGGCCACGGAAAATGTACAACGCACATTCACCTCGGAATTAAAACCATTAAAACGTTCAAACGTGAATTAACTCTTTGCAACCGAGTTGCAACCGCTTTGTGTATTGTAACATTTCATAGTTATAAAAATCAATAGCCCAAGGGTGGATTAATCAAGAGTTAACCAAAGATGCTCATCTCACGTGGTTTAATGGCACTGGCTATTGATCTGCCGATGAAGTCACACAAGCCGTTGTATCAGAGTCGAGTGTCATCTGTTACCAGTAGTTAAAGGATCAAATGTTTGTGCCAATCTCCATCCATGTGAGAATCCCTTTGGGCGGAGAATATGTCCATCACTCCGCACATCTGCCCACTCAAGCTGCCCGTCAACACGAGAAATGGTGTTATAAGTAGTGGAAGCGTGGATGCTGTATAAAACATAGACCCTGTCAGCGATAACACAGTGGCTGCGGAAAAGGCTGAGTGAACAGCTGATCGCTAGAGCCGCAGTGGAGTTTGTAAGGAGCTGATCAGCTGATTCCCTACCGGCAGAATGGTTACGCACTTTGACCATCTTACCGTTCTTGCCCTTGTTCTTGTCACTGTACTTGGCGTGCTTGGAAAATATTCCCTCATTGATGCTGCCGAGAGGAACGACACTTTAACACAAGGACCATCAAATAGCAGCTTCGGTGATGAGGAGGATACCTTAGATGAAGGTGACGACGTCGAAGTCAACTTAACTATGACGTACGTCCCAGAAGAGGTGGTTGAGAACAGTACCAGTATTTGGAGGTTTAATGACAGTATGAATGCAACTAGTGTGAACAAGACGGAAGACAGTCTGTATGCGAACGGTAGTATAACCGGTTTCACCCCAGCAACGCCGGTAAACAAATGTGTCGCGTGTGCTTTGAGGGAGGATGACCGCAAGTATAGAATTGCGGTGATTAAGAATCAGATTCTTGAAAAACTGCACTTCCACAGTCCTCCAAACATGACCGGCAGAACGCTGCCCAAAGCGCCAAAGATCGCTCAGCTTCTCGAGAGGTCGGGAATACAAGGGGATTCACCAGATCACTACGGTTACCATGACAAATACTTTTTTGATGATCGCCTCTACGGCCATACAGAACGTATCTTCACTATTGCTAAAACACGTAAGTAATATACTGGCCTCATTAATGACATGCAACCGTTTACGTGTTCCGTATACGGTCACTGCATAAACCTCTCTAAGGTGCATGATTCATTGATATGTCAATAAAAACCATTTCCATATTCATAAAAAATGTCTGCTTAAAGCAGAGTCCTTTCTACGATTCCGACTTTATCATAATCATGTTTTTATACATAACCATTATTTAATGACGATATCAGGTGTTCTCAATCCTGCCCAATCGGTGACATTGCCCTGAAACTTCTTAAAATAGACCGTGTACTCTTAAGCAAAGAAAATCAATTGATTAAGTTCTGAAATTGGATAAGTACTGCAGAGAACAGGCAAGTGAGGCAATGTCGTGATAGTAAGGCTACTGTACCTCTGTTACGTAATATGTGCAGTTGTTCTGTGTCATGTAGACGTGAGTAATACCTTGTGAGGTCATCTAAAACCTTATTATCGATCTTTGTACTGAAACAACACTTTCATGTTGACAAGCGGTGCTTTTTCCGTCGTTCAATTCACATGTTCGCTGGGATAACATGGATGAACTCCATAACCGTTAGAGAATGGATTCCGATCAAGTCGAATTGTCTATACTTTTTAATTGTTCAATCTAATAGCCATGATTTACAATCAATCTGCAAAATAAGAATATATTGCGTCTTCGAGAATGGTAACGAGGTAGCATGTATTCATTATATACTTCTTTACAACTGACAGAGAGTATTTATACTCCTCTTTGAACGACAGCAGAAATCCCAATGAATTGGTTCGCACATTTTACCCATGTGTGGATTCGAAACCGTGCTTGCCGCGTAGCGAGCGATTGCTTTAACCACTTGGCTACCTCACAGCAAAGGAATGTGTAGAGGACGAGTACAGCCAATAACAGGTTTCAATACATTCATCACAGATGAGTTGGACCTACATGCAAATGTATGTTGTAAATGTTCTCTGTATATGAATATTCAGTTATAAATATATCTCAACAGATAACTAAATAATTATATACAGGTACACACTTTGAACTTGGCTGTCACAGCATCGCCTTCCAAACAACCGTTAATTAAGTAAGTCCAGTTTAAGTAAACTGAAGATATATGATTATTGAGAAGGAAATTGAATTAAGACACAAGGTCGGTATTGCGTCTCCACCACTGACATGTGTATGAGTGATCGTATAGTCATAAGAAGTCTCCTTCTTACGATTCTGACATAACATCGAGAGCACATGCTTGTGTACCAATATCAAACAGTAGTGATACAGGGGAGAGAGAGAGAGAGGGAGAGAGAGAGAGGGGGGGAGAGAGAGGGGACAGAGAGGGAGAGAGAGAGGGGAGAAAGAGAGAGGGGGAGAGAGAGAACAAAAGAAAGAGTGGGGGAGGGAGAAAGAGAGAGGGGAAGAGAGAGAAAGAGAGAGGGTGAGAGAGAGCGAGAGAGAGAGGGAAAGAGATAGAGAGGGGAGAGAGAGAAAGAGAGAGGGAGGAGAAAGAGAGGGGAGAGAAAGAGAGAGATAGGGAAAGAGATAGAGAGGGGAGAGAGAGATAGAAAGAGAGAGAGGGCGCAGCTATCAGAAATCATGCACTTACACAAACTGTGTCATATTAGCAATCGAACTAGGTCTTGGTGAGTGCGTCGGTCCTTGAGATTTCCTCCTTCATCGATCCAGAATGACGAAACGTTATCGAATTTCTTTAACTGCATCCTATCACCGGAGATCACGTATGTTGTACTTACGCACTGGTGTTGTATTCTGAAATAGGCTCGCGGCACGAAATATAGATAACTGTGATATTATACAAATTTGATTTTTAAAATGCAAATGTATCATTCAAGTAAGATGTATGATGGTTACCTACAAGCTGTGGGGATTAATCAGTATTCCCGACACGCGACTCTTTACTATGTCGTATTGTACAGACAAGTATTACCATGTGCAGCTCGCCCTGTTCGGGCATTAACTTGAAGAACTGACATTGACGATCCAACATCGCCACGTGCAGCATGAATAATTAGTGCTATATAGCTAGCGAAGATGATATTGCGTTGCAAACTAATATCTTCACTTGCAACATGCCCAATCCGTGCTATAGCTTCGTAGTTGACAATTGTGTACAATCCAATATTTCTCGTGCAGCATGCCCAATCAGTGCTATAGCTTGAACGATGACAATAGTGTACAAACCAATATTTCTCGTGCAGCATGCCCAATCAGTGCTATAGCGTGAACGATGACAATAGTGTACAATCCAATATTTCTCGTGCAGCATGCCCAATCAGTGCTATAGCTTGAACGATCACAATAGTGTACAAACCAATATTTCTCGTGCAGCATGCCCAATCAGTGCTATAGCTTGAACGATGACAATAGTGTACAAACCAATATTTCTCGTGCAGCATGCCCAATCAGTGCTATAGCTTGAACGATCACAATAGTGTACAAATTGGTATTTCTCGTGCAGCATACCCAATCAGTGCTATAGCTTCGGAGATGGCATCGAGTACAGACCAATATTTCTGGTGGAGCAAGACTAATCCTTGCTATTGCTAGTAAAATGACATAGAGTACAAACCAACATTTCCCGTGCAACATGGCCAATCAGTGCTCTAGCCTGTTAGTTGACAATAGTGTACAAAACAATATTTCTCGTGCAGCATTCCCAATCAGTGCTATAGCTTGTCAGTTGACAATAGTGCACAAACTAGTATTTCCCGTGCAGCATGCCCAATCAGTGTTATAGCTTGTAAGTTGACAATAGTATATAAACCAGTATTCGTACATGCACACCTAGTAAGCTACGTGTAAATAGCTTAAAATGATTACATGCCGTACATTCAGTATTGTCCGGGTAGTCGGTTGTTACGATGAGGCCACAATTATCCCTTTACTTTCTGTATTTTCCTGGGATGCAATTACATGTATATCAGATGTAAATTGATAGATAGGAAGCCAAGGTTTCCCCTTACAACCTGTATTCATTAATTAGCACCACAACCCTGCTCGTAGTAAATCCGTATAGCCTGTAATCTCGTTTTGTTCCTTTGTTCACACATAACAATATATAGCTGTGTTACAGTCCAAAACAGCATTAAACCTCAGTTCATGGACTGCATGACATCAACATGGCCGGCTGTACCGTACTAGCTACTTATTTTACACCAGAAAAGGTCGAGTATTGCCAATTAGTAACAATTACTGAACCTTCCCTACGGGAATACTTGATGTGCTCATCCTGGAGTAATTAAGGTTATGTAAGACCCGAGGCAAGACATGTCGTCGTCGTTGTTATGCATTGTCAACTCTTAGAGTCCCCTGTGTGGAAAATACGTTGCACAAGACTTGTGCCAAGTATTTTACACTTACATTTATGAAAAGTTTCAAATTCAAGTGAAATATATATTCATGTTCATATTTTGTATCGGCATATATCATTTGTGTGCGCCAGTTATCTTTAATTCGCTTACATGAAGATTTTTATGAAACTCGGTGATATTAGCGACTGTAGAGGCGACGAAAACTACTTTCAAAATCACGATATATATTGGTTATTGTATGATTCTGACTATATCATAAATATGTGTTTGAGTCATTTTCAAACAGGGATCTTACCGGTTGTTAGCGACAAGGTGAGTGTATCCTCCCTAGCCGGCATTGTTTTAGTTTTCACACTTGTCTCTGATAATCTGGCCCCGATTTCTCGAATCAAACTTAAGTTTTTACTCCAATTTCAAACTGAGTTCGACAACTTGAAACAGCTGAATTTTTAACTCAACTGCATTTTATAAATAAAAAAGACGAAACAACTACAGTAATCTGTCCACCAAACTCAAATTGTCTACTATGTTTGAGTTTAATATCGAATTCAGTTCCTTCTGGGAAATGCGTTTTCTCAGTTTTGAGTAAAAACTCTTACTTAAGTTAAAACTCAGACTTAAGTTTGTTTCGAGAAATCGGGGCCAGGGTGCCGTTGTACAAAACAACCTTAGCGCTAAGACTACCTTAAGTCTATGTTAAGGTATGGGAGTTACGGTCACCTTAGCGCTAAGATCGCTTTGTACAACGGCACCCTGGTCAACAAAAACAAGTCAAGGTTTCTTCAGTTTCAAGAGTTATTTTGTACTTCGGAGATTAAATGCTAGTCTGTCACAATACAATTATAAACTTCAATAAACCCTAATTATGCCATTATCTATGAAATAACATGCGCAAGGACGTTGTAACTATTGTCCATCTCAGGAGCGGCACTCCCTTTGCTCGTAAATCACAGCAATATTCACCACGTTGGCGCCTTGACCGTAATTGTTAATCTGTTTATCTGGTAGAAATGTAACATTTATATTTACCATGCAGCTATTCATTGGATTAGTAATCTGTTCCATAACAACTGTGCATAGTGATAAAATATGTTTTTCTATATCTATATGAATATATTTATATTGGCACATCAATATTTATAGCTAAATGTGAGCAGTTGTATTTTGGAGAGATTTATATAATACTATCCGGATTAAATCAACTTGTTTCAGTAGAGGGGGGTGACCAACTGATAATGCGTTCGCTGGTCAAGCCGAAAGACCAGGGTTTGATTCAAGACACAAGTAGAAAATATGAAGCCCATTGTTTGTGTTTACCGTTCTACTATTGCGGACATACTAATATAACTGTGTTTTTTTATTCACTGGATACACCCACGCTGTTGCATACCGCTTCCAGGAACTTCTCGATTCTATGATAGTGAGATTTGTACTCTTCTCAAACCGTCCTGTCAATATACATTTATACACATTTTTCATCGACGGCATAAATATGAGAGAAATTGAAATTGATGTAATACGTCAGTATAATAAACTGTCTCTGAAACAGATTCTTATAGTTAAGGGTCCCTAAATCAAAGGCGACACCAGGCCCCAACTTCACAAAACAAACTCAAGTCTGAGTTTTGACGAGTTTTATTCAAATTTGAGAAAACAGAGAATTGTGCATTTCCCAGAATA